AATAGGAATAATCAGATTATTCGCAATATATATTTTGAATCTTACACTTTAAAAATCAAAGGAATGCAAGCATTGAGATGAGAAAATACTAGATTCTTTTTAACGCTTTCAGTTATTCTAAGCTCAAAAAAGATTGTACACTTGAATTCTCTTAATGAACGCATTCTCTCTCATGAACACATAATAGTCGAGACTATTAGCCTCGACTTTTATGCGTTTACAATACAAGATACAATAAATCGAGGCTATCAGCCTTACTGTACGGACTTATTGTATCTTGAGTCATTTTCTCGATATAAAGAGCGATAATATATAGCACAAACATTAAGTCGAATATTAGTGCGTAATAATAAGTTTCACGAAAGTGAAATGTTGACGATTAAATAACCTTATAAAATGAAAGCTCTACGAGGTTTTTACTAAAATGGTAGCAGCATTTATACGCCATAAATCTAGAATTGTGAAAATGCATAGTAAAACATAAACAACATACGGTCTGCGAAACAAATGTAAAATAAAATGTAAACAACAACATGCTCTCATGTCCGCAGTTTCAAAGATTTAACGTCATAAGGGCAATAGAAGCTTATTATTGGTCCATTTATGAAATTCCTCCCTCGGTGGCGATACTGATATGCACTTGTGAATTATGCGTACGAGACTAAGTTATCACATTGCTTGGTTTGGAATTCAGCTATTTATTTAAAATTTGGAAAGGGGAGTAGTAACCTTAGGCGATGATTTTGTATAACTCTCTCGATTTCGAGCTAGATCAGACTGTTTTTCATAACTCCTTCCTCCCCCCCCCCAAAAAAAAAACTGCAGAATTATTTTTTGTTTTGAAACAAATTACGCCAAATTTAGATTGTCCTTTTTGCCTAGTTTTAAATTTTAAATTAGTACATTCTCTTCTAGTTTGATTAAGTTAACCAACAACCTCTTTCAAAATTTTACGAAGATTTGCTGGAAGAACAAATTTAACGGGGCTTGAATAATTGATAAACATACCTTTTCGCGTGCCCCTCCCCAAAAAAAGCACTTTGTATTTTGAACTTCACATTTTGATGAAGGCTCGTTTTTAAAACGAGTTAATTTTTTGGTACTGCTTAGTAATTTTTATCATCTGGGCCCACCAGCGGCAACGTGGTAAATTCGCTAAACACTGATAGTTCGACCTGGGTTCGATTCTAGGCGAACGGGGAAATGGTTGTATGGGCGTTTTCGTGGTTTTTTTTTTCATGTGTACGTGAATACGAACTTATTTCCTTTAAGAGTCGTTCACGAAGGCAACCCTTTCGTTAGGTAAATAGCCCTCGCCTTCTTTTCCATAATCGAATAAACCAAACAGTCATTTCGATTCTTTTTTTGAATATTTTAAAATTTTGGAGACTAGTAAAAGGCATAATGATCTGGCTCTATGGTATAAAGTGGACTTATTCAACACTCTAGCAGAAATCGGTGAACGGAATGTTAAGTTAACTGCTTCTCTAATGCAAGATTTAAAAAAAAAAAAAAAAAAAAAAAAAAAAAAAACGTGAAGATATGGTTTGCAAATCAAAGAAAACATGAAATGGATGTAAAAACGGGGAAGGTAATAATGCTGAGAAAGCACTGAAGGTTTTGTTTACAGAAGTTCCTGCAACAGATGTGAGAGTTTGCCCTTCATTAATATGACAGAAACATTAAGAGAACCGAAAAGAAAATAAACATGGTTTTGCAGCAATACATTGCTGGTTTATCCGATGGAAGAAAACTTTGTTTACAAACGCATTAATAGTGAAGTAAAATGTGCATATTTACCTAATGCAAGAACATAATGAATTGGAAAATGGTCTAAGTTGTCTACAAAGTATTGTCTTGAAAACATTTTTAATACAAACAAAACAGATCAATATTATTCTCCATTTTCCCAACGTACTTAAAACTCAAGTTCGAAAAGACGTAAAATATCGAAAGATCGTATAACCGATTTATGCTGTAGCAACATGTACAGTTATAAAAGAAAATGGTTAGTAATCTGTTAGTTAAAACTGTTAGGAATGAAAAAGCTAATAATCCCCGATGCTGATAAATGAATTTGCGATAACTGAGTATGCTGATAATGAGCCTCGATAAATGAGTTTGTATAATTCAAGGCGTTGATAATGTCAATGATTTTTAATGAATAATACTGGTAATTCGACCAGGGTTCGAGCTCAGACGAAAGGTCTGACTCATGATTGGTTTCCGTGGTTCCTAACACGAATACGAGCCAATTTCATTTAGAAAGTCTTGCGCGAAGGCATACCTCTCCTTAGGCAAATAGCTCTCGGGTGCTTTGCCATATTCAAAATAATCTCATACACATATCTAAATTTACCGGAAAATACCACAACTCTAATTAAAAATGCAATCAATGAATTATTAGGACGATGAAAGAGTATTATTGTCTTAATATGAGTATTAGAGTCCTTTATAACATTGATGATATGGATCTAAGTGCAAATGAATTTGCAAGGAAAATAACCTTTTTGACATGCTGCATTTGCCGAAGCTACTTCGGAACCGCGTATCAGAAAAGATAATAAAGAACGTTTTTAGTATTGAAGCTTTTTAATAACTGATGAATTAGAGGAATCTGAAGAAGAAGAAGCAACGTCTCAAACTAACATGAAGGTGAGTAATTCAGCGCATGGCTGGATATTGAAGAAAAATTCAAGTTGCATCAACGATGATAGAAAATTTCTGCCAGTCGCTTTCTGAAACGAATCCAAGCCCATCATGTGATAAACTGTATGAAGAAGATGAAAGCTGTACACTGCCTATGCTGAAGTGAGGGATGCCTTCTAAGCGTTAGGGTAAGTGTTACAGTCAAATAATTTCCAGAAACATAGGGAACGGTTCGTAAATTAACTTTGTGTAACACTCTCAGACAATTTTCCTAGTAACGATGTTTTTTCTAATTACAATGTTCTGAGGAAAAAAGTAGTATCTGTATGTTTTGTGTTATATTTGTATTAAATTTGTTAAATTCCATTGCTATTTTGAAGGATAAGTTTTCTCATCGTTCACTGTTATCATTAGGTTAATATTATCAAAAATAGCTGTGGACAAATGTAATCATATCAAGCAGCGCATACTGTATTTATTTTTACTTATCCATAGAATAATATTGCATTAAATAGTTAAGTGGTGATATATTTTCACATTAAATTATACTTATGAAAAATCAAAAGATGACATATAATTTGGTTTTAACACTATTAAATCATAATTGAATTCATAAATTCAGATTTACAGGCTAGATTAATTTCAGAATCATTACCTTCTGACAAAAAATGTTGTGGCTTTTTTGGTTACATATATATTTTTTAAGATGTATTCCAGCATCTTTCATTGTTTAATATTCAGGAAAACTGTCAAATATTAGGAAATTTATGCCTTAATAAATCTAGTAGAGTTTCTTAAATACTAATGGTTTCCCAAGATTTTGGTTCGAAAGTGATCGTCTTAGAGAAAATGCTAATCTGTAATGAGGATGATTAATTTGCACAATGGATTTACGCTATTCAAGGCTCTTGGAGTCTGATAATATGCTGAAGTATTTATTAGCGCTTTGTAACTAACCAGTTAACCAGTAAACTAACCAGTTATTATGATTGGGACCTGTAACTTAACTTCTCCTTTCGGTATTCCTCACCAGAATGCAAATAAAATAGCCAGTATTTAAATTGAGGGTTTGGGATTTTAAGTCAGAGCCTGTTTCTGGCTGCCCATGCACACTTGTTTAGTTCTTGTCAGCTATGGTAGCTGTAATAATTCGGCTTTGGTTATAGCGCTGCGACACTTTTATTTTTCATGATCTAGCAGAACTACTGAACCATAATTTAATTGCGCAGATTTTGACTTTTTTTCAACGTTTAACTTGAAGTTGACTATTCTTTTAGTTGCATCACTACAAGTTATGGCTGATATTCCTGTTCTGAATTCTGTTTAAATCAAAATATTATTTAAAATCTTCTTGCGATTTTGTAGTTACATCAGACGTAGTGATAATTAGCTTCACCTCTGTTAGGTATTTTGGACTATTTAACATTTCCAGACGAAGTAAAACCCCATAACTCTTATATTAATAAAAGTGTGAAGTAGAGAATAATAGGTAGGTAAACTTAAAATTTATCCTGCATTAAAATTAAATCGTTACAGTTTAGTTATTTATTATGTTAGTAATTTTTAAATTTATTTTTCCCGTCGACAACTCTGATTCGTTCTATAAAAATGTTAAAACAATTACGTCGTCATCTGGAAGGTAATAAGACGGTTGATTTACTTTATGAAATTCAAATTGTTTTAGGAAAAAGTATGATTAATGAAAAAACAAAAATTAGTTATGTTGACACGCATCAAGAAATAATTTAGCAGTAAAATATGAAGTTATTAAAGAAATACATAATATTATAACAGTTTTTTTATCTTTGTCTAAAAGATCTGTTGTCGTATTTCACTATTTACAGAGTTTCAAAATACAAACTATGAAAGAAATTTTTGTCTTATTGTAACTTTATTCACAATTCATTCCTATAGTTAATTCGTCAGTTGATTAATAATTTCATACACTGCATCTCAAGTTAATATGTTTTTTAACTGACGAAGTCTTGAAAGGATAAAGCTATTATGCAAACACAGGATCTCCATCGTAAATAATCGTAATCAGCGAGCTGTGCAGAAGACTAGTATCATTTGGGTGATCTTCCTAGAGAGAGTTCATTGTTTTATGGAAAACATATAAAACATTATATATTACCTTGTAATCGAGCTAGTTCTTTTTAAAATTATTTCTGAAGACAAACCAAGCTACTCAGTTCTTATTTTAATACCAAAATGAAACGCCTTGCATTCTTCCATTATCTTTACCTCCTTCCACAGCCAACGGCAGCCTAAACCCACATATTACACATGCCCTACTTCTACTGCATTCACGTTGCTCACAATACTAATATTTGTCATCTTTTCTCAATTAGGTGTTGCCGCCTGGGCTGTGAGTGCAGACGTGGTGATGAACTCTGGCAACAACAGAATCAGCAAAACTGATAATAGCTTGTTACAGGTGAGTCAACCTTAATAGTTGTTCATTTTCAGAATGACACCAGCAATAGTAACCTTAATTAAAAGTATGAAACAATTAAAAAAATTAAAATATTTTTCTTCTCGTTTCTTCTTTCTTATTCGTCACTTCTTGGGTCAACTCCCGAGGTCAGATGTAAATGTGTTTGTGCTGATGAATTAATTCCGTGACCAAACGCTTCATGAATAATGAGCAAAGATTCCACCGTTTTACCACTACATTGAGCTTAGATTTATTTGAATTTGTTTATTCATTCGTGCCACGCTTTTTTTTTTTTTTTTGAATATTTCATAAAATAATTAGCTATCCTTATTACGCAATAATTTTTTCTTCTTGTATTTTAAACAAAATATTTTATACTTTTAGTGTTTTCCACTTTTCAATATTTTTTCCATTTCGGTTTAATATGTTAACAGACCGGAACCGATTTTGTATTTTACACTTTAAGCGCATGGAACCTCCCCATTTTTGCTTCCAAACGTCAGAATACCATTCCTAAATTTATGCAAATAAAATATAATCTTAAATCTTCTATTCGCATTTCGAAAATTATGTATGAATTCAAACTGTCACTTCTTCGCCCACATTATAAGCTAACACGTTCAAACATTTGCTTAAAACTGAGTATAAATTATATCATCTTCATCTGAGAATTTAATATAAGTTATATAATCTTCTATAAATTATATGATCTTCATTTGTTAATTTAATTTGTATTTAAAATTTTTCCACTTTTGATCATAAATTTTGATCTAGAACTGAAACCGCTTGTTAACCTTGCTGCTAAATTCCAAAAACTCACATACGAGTCATCTAGCAGCAACCATTCTGTAATCTTCCCACTGTAAATACTAATCTTGTTAATATTTCTAATAAACTTTCGGAGGATCAGATGAAAGCATTTAAATGCAATGTTAACTTTCCAAAAACATCTAAACCTTCAGCTCCTCAAACCATTGCTCTTATTGAAAAAGCTTTTAAATTCAGTAAAATTTCAGAAACACAGAAAGATACAATGCGCACTTATGTAATTACTGATATTGTTATTTTTAGTAACAAATCGTTCGTTTCGAATCTTAACCAAAAGGAAACGAAAATCTTATGTGAAATCCATTCTAATCCAACACTGTTACTGTCAAAGCTGATTAAGGTGGACAGATCCTTATTATAGACAAACATACATACATTCAGCTAAAGAGGGGTTCGAATCCCGCGAACGGGCTGTCTGCGTGGGTGTTTTCGTGGTTTTCTCCATGTGTAACGTGTATACGAGCCAGTTTCCCTTAGAAAGTCCTCCACGAAGGCATCCCTCCCCTTAGGCAGATAGCCCTAGTGTGCTTTGCCATAATTAAATACACCAGACCACATTCAGCTCAAGGAACTTGTAAATGAATGTCTATACTGCTCAATCCCTTCAACTTACTACCTCACAAAAGTTAAAACAGCCGTTAAATTGTTTCATATACTCCAAAATCAGTTTAAAAAAAATCCCTCATTTCAAATATTACAAACCGTACTACTTATTATGCTCTCCCTGGAATTCCTTTTCGACTTATAGTTTCTAACTTAGTAATAGCATCACATCGGTTGGCCAAATATTTAGTTTCTATATTTTCCCCTTTACTTTTTAACAATATTTAGCTGTAAAAATGTTTTCGAAGTCGTCAATAAATTTAATGATATTTGTAACCAGCGCTCAATTATAGCTTCTATTGATGTTAAATTACTGTTTATTAACATTTTAGTTAATAGAGCACTAACTTATCTTGAAACCAGACTTGGAGAATTCCATTTCACAGGTACTGAAATCGAAGAGTTAATTTCCATCACTTATTTTTTATTTTATTTTATTTTTATTTATTTATTTATTTATTTATTTATTTTTTTGGTGTGTGTGTATGTTAAACATTCTTCATTTCCCAAAACAAATATTATCGCCAAATTGTAGGATTAGCTATGGGTAATCCCTTTAGTCCTGTACTTTCTGTACTATACATGCACTATTTTGAGGTCAAATTATTTGAGAAACTATCTTTTCGTGTCTAGATTTGATACGTCAACGAAACTTTCGCGCCTTTTAATGGTAATAAAGAAGATTTATCACAGATTTTATTTGTTATAAATTCGATTGATGCAGCCATCTAGTTCACTTTTGAAATTGAGTCTGACAAGTAACAAGTCTTACCCTTTCATTCCTCGATATTCTTAGTAATCCGCAACGAATTTGATTTTAGCACTATTGTTTACCGTTAACCTTTTCCTGTTTGTCTGCTTGCTCACAATAAATCATGCCATCTGGTTAAGGAGAAAAAAAAATTGCGCTCTTGAAGTTTGCTGCTTAGAATCTGCTTTTTAGTGAACTCAATAATTTAAACTTAATTATTGCTTAGAACTTAAATGCATGAATTTTTACTTTTATTTTTAAAGTCAAAAATGCATTAGAATTGATATCAAATAAAATAGGAAAAATATTTAAAAAATCTAAACCAAGTTTTTATTTCAATTTTTGAAAAAATATTATTAACTTTTATCAAAAAAATATGATAGGTAAATGTGTAATAAAAATTTTATGTAATGATACATACCTATAAACTTCTTCAATTTTAAAACTTTGAATACATCAAAATAACAACAAACACAAAATCAAAAATTTGTGAACACAAATGATGTCCACACCCTACACATCTACTCACAATAATGACCGTTACACAGTTAGTGGTGCCACCACACTAAAACTTTCAAAACTTAAAACATTATTTAAACTAAAATCATTTCATAAACAGTATGTATCCAGTTGGTTACACTATGCAGGAAGCTAAAATTTGTGTTTTGATTAGATTACATGACTAAATATGAATATGTTGTCAAATGGCAACTACATGCATTGAAAGGTTAAAATCGGTTTGCTACTTACAGAGCATTTACCCCATGGTCATTGATAGAGCCTTTAAAAAATGTTCATCTTGTCATCAAAGAAAACATTCCGCTATTAGAAAGAGCATTAACCTTTTCGTCATTCCGCATCATCCTTCTATCACATACAAAATTATACGTATTCTCCAGAAATTAAACTTTCATTTTTCTCACCTATCAATAAAATCCATTGTTCTATTCTTAAAGATTCCGCCCCTGACTGTTATTCTTGGGAAATTTATAAACTAGTTTGTCAATGTAGTGTGGACAAATTAAAACAATTATCGGACAAATTAAAAGAGCGTTAAAATTTCGCATCAAGAAATGGAAATCCTATGTCCGAAAGAAGAAACAAACAAATCTTCGATATCTAGCTATTCATAGTTGAATATTTAATCACAGTTTTGATTTTGTGTCTGTGAGAATTATCCATAAAATTTCTTCAGTTGTTGAACTGGATTTTTATGAAGTTTTTCACGTTCACCAAAAATTTATTTTTAGTAATTTATGAACTTATATTAAATTTCGTATTTTAAAATGATTTTCCAATTCAGACATTATTCTGAAATAAAGAAATTTGTCACTCTACTCTGAAATAAAGAAAATCTGTCATAATATAGCTATTAAATTCCTAATAAAATTATGAATAACAGTTTATATCTTATTCAAGAATTTTAGCTTTAAATTTTGTTCCAAATTAAGAGTTTCATTTAGGATTACAGAAGATCATTAAATAAAATATTGCAAAATTTAATAATTTTTATATTCAAACATTCTTTTTTTTTCCAGAGTTTTTCAGTAGATAATGATAACCGGAGAGATATATTCAGAGCAAGAGAGGAAAATGAAAGATCTCGACCTCAACATAGACCACTGCCCGAAACATCACCGCCCGTTCGAACATCAACTACTATCAAGACTAGCAGCACTACAACAACTGCTGCTCCTCTGACTTTGTCCCCAAAAGAAGCTACCGACGTTAATGCAATATTGTCGAAATTAATATCTGCTTCGGGAGCTGCTTCAGGGGGAAGTGGACCACGTTTCGTTGTCGTTGCACCTCTACCAGACAATGCCGATGTTCTTCAAGGCCAAGGCTCGCCTTCCTCAGGTATCGCTAGAGTCGATCACACTGGTAAAATCCATTCAACAGATAATAACTGGAGTGTATCTGGTAAAACTTTGCATGAATCAGATCTAGTTGCCTCAGGATCATCACAAAACTATCAGAAAGTGCCTTCTCCTATCCATCGTTCAACAAACAATGCCAATGTTACAGACAGGATAGGCTTCACTAATGGTGAGTCTTCTGCAACACGTAGAATCGGAGATAAAACATTTGTGATCAATACAAATGGTAACAATCATCGCGGTGGAGGTTTTAACAGCCCTCCTTTAGAACTGACAGGATTTGAGCCTTTTGATTCAATGATGCAGTTGGATTCTCTCACCGGCAGTGCATCATCTTCGAAAGTTCTTCATAATCCACCACGGAATTTCAATTTACAGCATAAGCGGGGACCACCACAAGGCATTTATGGTACACGTAATCATCTTAAACCTCTTCAAGACCAACATATTTTCACTCCTCATGGATTAAAAGCCAATCCACCGCCTGGAATGATCGCATCTCACCAGCCTGGAATAGGTCTCAAGCCAATTCAGCAGCAACTTCATCATATGGACAATGCTGGACCTCCATTACGGCCAGAAGAATCTAATAGGTGGGGAACATTAAGTTTTCCTCCAAGCCCACCTTACGTTCATAAACCACCAGAAGGCATATCTCTGAGTATCAGTTCACCCTCAAACAGTGGAACGCACGTGTCGTCTGAGCCTGTGAATGTTATCAAGAGCTTTTTTCTACCATTCTTGCCAAAGCCAAGGCTTAACATGAATGCAAGAGTAGTTTTTGGTGTAGTACTAGATAAAGGAGTAGGTGTAGGAGGTAAAAAAGATGCTGGGCATCATCCATTCCACTGAAAAAGTTTCATAAATTCCAGAAGAAAATTCTGCTTTGTAATTTATGAATATGAAATGATCTTGAATGTGAAATTTAAATGAATATCGCTGAGAAATATTTTTGAGCATTTACTTTAGATATAGAATTATATTTACATAATAGTGCATTTAGTAGACATTTGATATGAAAATTTGTCGAAAAGGGATTACTTGATTATTTAAGCTACATCTAAATGTTCTATAATCAGCGTTTCTCAAACATTTTTTCTCCACTTTTATAAATTAGAATGTTCAGCGGACCACTTAACTCTTGTCTCTTTCGAAAACAATTTTTTTAGGTTATGTTACTACCAGCATACTTCTATTTTTTAAGTAAAATTAATTAAAATTCATTTAATTTTATATCAGTATTAAGTAATTAAGTTAATAGAAAAATTCGTATTCGTTTTTACTAATTCAAGATATATTTATTTTATTAACTAAAAACTAAATAAATGTTGGTACTCATATTAGTGAGATGGATGGGTCTGCCTTAGTGTTCTATCTTTATTTGTATGACTGTAAGCTTTTAGTCAGATCGGCACATACATCAAGTCAATTTCGGTACTTTCTTTTTACTTGAGTTGGTGATGAAAACAATTTTTTTACGCAAATACATAGAAAAAAGCTGAATTAAAATTGTTAAACACTATTGCACAGTTCGTTCAGAGCCGTAAGTACGGTTTTCAGCGCCCGAGGCAATTGAAGATTTCGCGCCCACCTCCTATTTACCAAGAATGGAAAACATTTCATTCTAAAATTTCTTAGCATCAATTTGGCGTCCCCTGGATGCTGCGCTCGGGGACAAATGTCTCTTTTTGCTCCTCCCTAGCTACGCCTCTGAGTTCGTTATGCACCGTTTTCTATACTTAACATATCAACGCAACAGAGTTGGAGATTTTTTACAGATGAAAATGTAAAAGCTAGTTATCGGGTGCAAGTTGGTAGTTTTCACGCCTTTTCTTAGATTCCCAAACTATCGATATTTATCTGAAGTCGATAAACATTATCAGCATATGAAAAGAAAACGTGCTTTAGCAATTTAAAATACAAATTTGAATTATTGAATAAGGATTGTATGATGCATTAAAAAATAAAACAATGATATTCATTTTCAAATTTTTTTATATTTTTTTTTTTTTTTTTTTTTTTTTTTTTTTTGCGTTGTTCTTCTCTGGAAGAACACAACGATTTGTTTTCGCTTTAAAAGCATCAGAGAATTGCGGAAAATCGGCTTCGTGCAGTCCTCAGCAACAACAGTTATCTAAGAAACCCATTTCCTCGTTGTTCCCTTCAGCACATTTTCTATATTCCTGCAAAAATTTTACACACATACACACACACACACACACACACACACACACATATATATATAACGAATATTCACGAAAATGACGGTGTTGTTTGATTGAAACGATTGTTATGAGCTTGGTTTTCGGGAGAATGGTTATACGCATGGTTATCAGAGTTCGGCATATTCTGAAAAATCTAACTTTTACTAATGTGGTACTTTGATATATAAGTAACCGTTTTTATTGGCAATGCGTCTAGTAGCGCCGGATGTTGGAAAAAAGATGGCGAGAAGCACCACAATCATAGTATCTTAAAACACTATTTTGTTGCAAAGACTAGAATTAGAAGTCGTACTTACGTAGAGTAATCGGTAATAAATTTCAGAAAATGTCAGTCTTGTTAGGGTAAGTAAGAAGCCATTGCTATGTGCAATCTCCTAACTGCGAGATTTTCAACTGTAGAGCGATATACACTGTTAATTTAAATTTTACTTTTTGTCTTTTTTGGAAATCTGGAAGGCCCACAAGGGTAAGCTTTGAAGATCAGTTGTGGTTCGCGGACCACAGTTTGAGAAACGCTGCCCTAAATAAACATGAAATAAAGAGTCAAATAAACATAAAACGATAATCTGTAAGTTATATTATATTTGAAATAATTCATAAGAAACGAGTAGTGAATGTAGAAATGTTGGTGTCAAAATATACATTATTCTCAATCCTTATTTATTTGCATGAGAATTTATTTAATGCCAGATTTTTGAACAAAATTTTCGCATAATAAATGCGGCCAATAACAATATTCTTGGTTTGTTATAAGCTGAAATAAAATTCCATCGGAGTGAAACACAGACAGTCCCAAAAGCTGTGAACATAAACAAACCATAATTGATTAAGTTAGAAGCTAAATGAATCACTCTAAATGAAACAGTGATCTAACTAGGTTTATTAGCCTTTATTGACTATTCTAATTAAATATTATTCCGTTTATGTATGTTATCTCTTGCGTAATTTGATTGAAAATTTGTCAGATTGCACAATTACCATCCATCTACTGTATTTTTCTATTAAATTGACTCTCGGTTCCAATCAAAGCAAATGGAATTTTATTTCGCCACTTTAAAAATCAATGTGTAGTTATTAATCTTTTGCCAAATTAGTAGAGGAATATCTAGTTTTTTTTTTTTTTTTGTTTTGTTAAATATTTTGTAAATATACTTTTGTTTAATAATGTCTTTTCTCCTTAGCGTACTTATTTAAAAAAAAATGGTGAAACTGAGATTTTTGGTAAGAAAATATAAACTAAGTTTTTTTAGTTTGATTTGTCCTAGTTAATGTTATTTTAAAAAATCAATTTGTTTTCCTGTTTAAAGAATCGTTAGATTTATTTTTTACGTCCCCACTCTTGGTTTCTTTTTACATTCAGGCAAATGACTGACAAAAATGACATTATTGTCTCTTAAATATCAAGAGATATGAGAATATTTTGTTATTAATACTAACTTACTCAACTGCATTTTAATAATTTAGTATTAAAAGTGTTTTTTCTAGTGATATCATAGCATGTTCCTGTTTTAAGAGCGAATCAGTCCATCTGCTTGGCATTCTTTTAATTGCTTTCTTAGATTGTTCCCGTTCACTTTAATTTCGTGCAGGACACGAAACTGAAAGCAAAAAAAAAAAACTTTTCATCTTTTTAGATATCCATTTTCGGGGAAACAATTTGCAGTTCTTTTTTATTTATAAAAAAGTTTAAAGATAAATTTTTATTCATTTTACTGAAAGGATTTTTAAATGATCGCCTATATTTTCCTCACATTTCTTTAAAAACTTAATCTAATCTTTTGAATGTGTAACAGTTTTGAACCAGTCAGTTCCAGAACATTGTATGTTTTGGTGAATCTTCATGTTTGTTAAAATAAAAATGGATTTTATAAATATATGTAATGGGACATAAAACTTAAATTATTTTATATGTATTGTGATTAAGGTTTTTGTGAATGTCCAATAATTGTTATTATATTAAATTAATAAATTTATTTTATTAAATTCAAAATGAGTTTGTTTTCATTACTTCTGAATAATTGTGTAAAAAACAGAGACTAACATTTTTACCTTTACGTGCATTTAAACTTGTCATGAAGATTACTTTATTAAAATATGTTTCCTCTCAAAATGACCAATATTTTAAAGTTATAAATTAAATTTAACATTACTTATTAGTTATAAACATTGTTACACAGAAGCTATTAAAACTAAAAGGATGCAGGCATTTCTAAAAAAAAATATGCACAACTACCTTTAAAATTTAACTTTTCTCCCCCTTACACTTTCTATAAAATTTAACTTCTTATTTCAATGTAAGACTAATTAGAATTGATTATTATGCAAATAATTCCCATTTCCCCCCTTTATTTGCATAATATTTTAAGCAAACTTCCAAATGAGAAAAATGGAAGATAAGATGCATTTACTCATTTCTTAAAAACATCAGTAATTAAAATAAAAGGTCGTAACGATATTGAAAATTTCCTTTTCTGATAAAATTTCAGATTTATCAAAAAATACTCAGAATTAATTTGTCACTTTTAATTAAAAAAATATTATGTAGGATTCAGATGAGGAGCACTGGGAGACTCTTCTTCACAAAATGACAAAATTTCATGTTTCTGTAGCGAAGGCTGTATTGTTGGTTCGAATTTCACATGCATGTTTGTATTTATGGTTAAGAGCGTCTTGCGAAAACGGTATTTGAATTGTTGGTGCTGCTACGTGAAACCATGCTACTGCATTTTCTCTTTTGTAGGGAGGTTTGTAATTTACGAAACATTTATTTCTTTAATTTTCAAAAAATGTATTTGGCTGTCATGAACTATGGATACTGAATCATCAAATATAGAAAGCTAGGATATTTATGATTCTCGCATTAAGCATGTTAAATATGGCAAACCAGAAATCCTTTATCATTAAGATTAACGTTTTATTGTTTGTTATTAGATCATAGATTAACCCCTTTGTCACTAGACTATGTGAACATCTTTTGGTATATTTTTTATCAAAACTCGGATAGTGTATTAAGCAAAGTTGCTTATCTATGCTCACGTCCTGATGTCCATGATCAATGACAGATGTATTTTTCTCCAACTAATTCTTTGTGAGTATTCTTATAAAGCATTTTCTCTCTCCTTTCCACATGCCTTCGTGTTGTAATTGGAAGCATACTCGTCGCGTATTCGAGAGGTCCGAATTCGAGTCCCGTCGAGGACATTGCACATTTTTTATGCCTGCTGCTTCAAGAAAACCTAATGGCTCTACAAGTGGGGCCTAAACTAAAAGGTAGTGGATAACAATTCGTCACCTTTAACATTTAGATTTGGATAGGATTGGGCGAATGGGTCCCCTAATCCCCAATCACCCCTACACCAGAGTATATATTTTCTATCTCCTTTCCAGGTGCTTTTGTGGTGTAATGGGAAGCATACGCGACGCCTATTCGAGTGATCCAGGGTTGAGTGCCGTCAAGAGCACTCTACAATTCTCACGTCTGGTGCACCAAAAAATCCTGATGACTCTACACTGTTTAAAAAAAAATGAACTCAGAGGTAAAAGACGGATGAATAGGTACATAGGCCTAAGCCGGCAACCCTTGCCCCCATCGTATTTTAAATAAACGCTGAAGAATTTTAATGCTTTTCACCAACTGTCTTCATTAAATGTTGAAGAGAATAATACCTCCATCTTATTTAAATTTATTAAAGAAACTCGTGAATATTTTATTAACTTTTGAAAAAGCTTTGATTGTATCTGTATTGAGTTCTAAGTAACATGCACTCGTTAAAGTGCACTATTCATAATTTAGGCCATCCACTAAATTACGGATGCATTTAAACCTCTCATGAAGATGACTTAATTAAGATATGCACCCTCTTAAAATGACCAATATTTTAAAGATCGTAACTATATTAAAGTCCTGAGCATGATGAACTGATATTCGTCTTCTGTAAAGAAGATCTACTTCTTAAGACTATTCTTATTTGATGAAACTTCTATCTCTTTGATGATATAAGAGAGAAACTTAACTGACTGCCAATCGTTCAACTTTCACGAAAAATCAAAATATCCGGAATCATGAATAGTACTTTGATGAAGCTTCCAGAAGATTCCACAATAATTATGTTTCGTATTTATGAGAAACAAACTATAAGTGAAACCTCACTGCAATAAATTTTAACATTAAAAACTATTAGTCGATTAACATTTATTATATACTAGCACTTTATCATAAATTATTATAAACGCGGTTCCAAAGGGGTGTTTTTTTAACATTTTATCTGTTACCTTTATTTATTAAATATCACGTTCTTTGCACTTAAACCATAAAATTGAGTTCAAGAGCAATATCGCAAAATAGTTTTAAATTGAGCATATCCTTTAGAATTTCAGATACGGAGTCTCGCGGGCTGTAGATAAAAGTGTTTTTTCTGTATAACGCTGCCATTGAAATCCTTGAGTTTGTAAATCAAAAATTAGTTTAAGTTTTACAAAATATGAAATCGACAATAAAACAAATTTCAAATTTGGGCTTACACATGCCGTATTCGCAGCAGGATTACGTCATTCAAAATTCGATGGCTCTATGTACCGTTGTTTTATCAAAATGCAAAAAATATGCATACATTTATGCAGATTTATCATTATTTAATTTCTTCAAATATAATGCAGGACTCTAACATTTGGCGGCAACAGTTTGGAAAGTGAAACGGACATTTATAGTGAACCAACGCAAAATCGCAAGCCTTCTTTTTGTAAACGGCCAGTATCCAAGAGAAACATTAAATTTAAAAACTGCACAGAATTATCACCCTCGTGTTTCCAAGTGGCAACCGTGCTGATTTTTAACAGTCAGCAGTCCATAATATAATTGAATGAAAAACTGTTGCCAAAAACCACATTTCTAAAAGAATGAAACTATTCAAAAGGATGCGATAAAATTGAAAAGATAAAATAGAAAAAAAAAATCTGACTCGAATTTTGAAAAAATCGCTTCGAGGTGCACTGGCTCTTGTTTAGATACACCTATATACCAACTTTCGTAGCCCTGGGTCTATTAGCTTACGCGCAGCGCGAACGAAAAGGCATACAGACTATTTCTTTTATTATATTAGATCATCCGAAAAGTTCTACGGTTATTTTATGATAAATACTTAAGAAGCAGACTTACATTGAATCACATAAACACCATTTTATTTTAATTAACTTTTTGCCATTTCTCAGGTAGCTGGAAAGTCGCTTTTTTAAAAACGTCATTAGGGTTTATTAGTAAGGAAGTTATCGATATGCTGTTTGACAGTCTCCAAAGAAGTGGACTCCAGGTTATTCAGAGAATTTTGTAGTGACCGGAAGAGATGAAAATCCAAGATGCCAAGGTTTAATGAATTTGGAAGGGCAAAAAAATGACACAAAAAATCTCAGCCGTACTCGAGAATTTTTTTTTTTTTTTTTTTTTTTTTTTTTATGGCACTCACTGAAAAATGGGCTTGAGCATTGTCATGAAAGAAGACGACACTTGAAACTAGTCATTTCTGGGCGCTTTGCTGCAATTTCTTCTTTCGAAATACTCTTCGAAAATATTCTTCCAAAGCTAATTTTTTGAAAAGAGTATTTTTTGAATTTATTGTCAGAATTTTTGGCAACAATTCATAGTATACAACTTCTTTGTAGTCCCACCATACATAAAACATCTGATTCTTCTGAAAGACCGTACATAAAACATTGATTCACCGTACATAAACATCCAATTTTGGGGGATGCAGCCAACCTCTCAGTGTTACTAAAGGAGATTCATTTGGCTTACACCACGATCTTTTCCTTTTAATCAACACCTTATTTCCAGCAATGAGCTGTTTAAAAAAAAAAAGGAGTTTATCTCTTTTCAGCAAAGAATCCCGTGCCAAACGTCGAGCAGACATATTAGCTCTGGCAAAATATGGGATACCCATACATCTTACTGAATACCCAATCTTCTCCAAATAACCATGTATTGTATGTTTTGGAATAATTAGTCTGTATGATGGTTTCTGAACTATATAATGGGGATTTTCAGCAAATTGCTTCTTTTAATATGTTTTTGTTTACAGAGGATTGTCGTACAGAGCAGTCATCATCTTGGGGACTACAGTTTCCTCCCTTAAACTTCTCAAACCATTTTCAAATTGCGCCATGAGAAACAGCACTTTTTACATATGTAGTATAAATTTTACGAGCAGTCTGACTAGCGCATTTTTCTTTTTCTTTCTTTAAAAAAAAAGATCATAATATGAGGAAAATTAACTTTTGACTTCTACATTCTTAGCATCGCACTGAAACAAAATTATAACAAAACTCATGCTACAATTACGCAACATAAGCAGAAAAGACCATATCTAAACCTCAGCATTCATAATGGTTATTTCGTATCAGCAGTAACTTAATAATTAGAAGAAAAGGCACTTCCATTTGTAAAAGTGGAGAACCTTTGAAATGATCCAACACATCATAAATAATTAATAATATCTAAGAACATCATTTGGAAAGAATTTCTGTTAAAGCGTTTCAATAATAAGAATTTTAATAAAAATTATTAATAATGCAAGTTGCTAACTAAGGAGTGAAGAATAATTAAGTTTACCTCCGGAGT